AGTCGAATATGACAATGACGATCTTACACATTCGTTGACGAACGATTCCTCAGGTAGTATTTTGATTCAATGTTTTTCTTGGAAGCGACGTCAAAATTACGGACAAAAGCACGTTATTCTATGACCGTCTGCAGTCTTTACATAAACAACATGTGAACTACCTAAATGACAATTTAGTAAACAAAATTAAACGTCACAAGCAAACAAACACAACGTTATATTGTAACATAAGATTTCGAACTTCTTCTAGTTTTTCGGGACGTCCTTCGATAACTAACACTCTAGACCAGTAGTATCAAACCTATTACTACCTTGATCTATGCTGAAACAAAACTTGCCGTACATGGGGAAACGATATACACTCTTATCTACACTAGTTCATACCTGTGAGAACGACAGACTATGTCTTCAGATATAGACGCTCCTGAACACGGTTCCGACGCGCACTCAGAAAGACGGGATATGACTAAGAACGTCATCGTCTTGACGCGACTACATCGGTTCACCAATCACTACTAGTGAATGTTAGCATTCGACATAATATGCTAGGAAGTCCTAATGTCTATGGGTAGAGTTTTTGTCTAGTACTTCGGGACATAGAGTTGGATTGTACGAAGGGTAGTTCCACAGATTTTATCTCGACATCAGCATAATGTTACGATGGTTCGTCCTACAGATTATATCTGCGATACCAAACCCTTCTCATTGATTTGTGCACTACGGCATCTCAATAGTTCTAGCACTAAGATTTCCCAGTAGTCTTTCGAGAAGGCTACAGTTTGTGCGACTGTTTACACGGACTCGTACCTTCCTCGTCGTCGTAGCTAACATAAGTCCGGGACCCACACCATAGAAGGTTCCAGGACAGTAGGCAAAGCTCGTTGATAATTACCTTTAAATCGCCAGAAAGCAGTGAACAGGACACGTGGATGCACCGTCTGTGTGCCCTCATTGTCTTATTGATTCATGCTCCAAAACAGAGTACCATACGTCCATCAGGTTTAAATATAGTGTCATCTGCCAGAGCGTCCTTTTACGGTTATAGGACGTGTATATCATTATGCTCAGGAGTACGTAGTTAGTCTATTGACCTTCCTGGTAAAGTATAACCGCGCTAGCACAAGGAGCGCAGAAGTAAAGAAAGATAATACTCATCGACCCTCACAACACTAGCGTGACGTGACTAGAACCAAATCATATAGATGATCTTAATACAGCAGCTTAAAGTTTGTAAAGTATTAGTCAACGTCTTGGTTGCGACGACTCAACAACGTATTTTTACAGTGGAACTTCCTTAATGGAACGCGTGACTTTATAGTTCCTCATAAGTAAGAGTGAAAGATGTCCTGCGTCAGGTCGCTTGTCGTGTTTAGTTTTTCGATATGGAAGACAGGCAGCGGTTCGGAGATAGGTTAGGTTCGGGACCAAATGGAGACGATGACACCTCCTTTCTGATCGCTTGTCGCCTACTTCATTCACAGCTACTGTCGTTCCGAGGTGTACCTCTCCGGTAATGAGGATTACATGGCCACCCCTTTACTTTCGTACACGCCCCAGCTGGTGGTGATCATTGCAGTGGCGTACCGACGCGTAATCACTGAGCGAGCGCTTACTTTTACATATTTCACCGTCGGTACCTTAGGTTAACCCCACTTTATAAGTAAGTGAAGGTCAAATTTTAACGGGGAAGTTTACAAGGATAAACACCTACGATCCGACACACCGAGAAACTTCGACGTACCACGGTTCATTGGGAACGTGTCTTTCTTCTCCGGTCCCTTTGTTAGGAGGAAAACACAAAAAATAATCGACTGGCGAAGGTGGCGAATTAGCCACTAACTGCTGTAACTACATTAAACAAACTTAACTGCTGATTAAACAAAGGAGGAGACGGTGTACAGTCATGTTGTTGGTGACCTTCGACATGACATGTCATACGAAGGAGACTAAGTTTTGTATTTACTGAATTCTGTCTGAGTTCGCAGCGTTGAACAAGGGTTCTACGGAAACTGTCGTCTTGTGTCTTATCGTCTCCTACTATATTTGCTCTCAGGTGGCAACCGACACATCGCTCCTTATCAATAAGTAAAAGGGATGAGGTGTGCTGATTTAGCGTTCTGTTTAACAACTGGTCAATATCCCTCGATTACAACCGCCCGTACAATTACATTCGACAATTCAAGGAATTGTTCTGTATTAAATAAATGGGTTGTTTGTGGTATTTAGGTTAAACTTCTCGGCGCCTAATCACAATACTGCATGTTACAACACAACCTACCGATTCGGTTGTCTTCGTGTTCACACTGTATCACTAAAGTTGATATCGGAACGTCTGGTAAATTGTACGTGTGGTTTGGATATATATTGTGGTGATGTCCCTTTCCTTTTTTTGCAAAATTGTATTGAAACAACGGAAACTAGGATTACTTGGAGATTTCATATTCCATGCAGTGTAATCCCTACGTATGGCCATAGGGCCATTAATGGCTTTATGGCCAATGACCACCGATGCCATATTGCATGGTTTAGTCTAGGCAAAGCTATGAAATTTTTTTTATATATATATTAAAATTAAAATTTTCACCTCAGGGCACCGGGGCACTACCGCACTTATTTTAATCTAACGTATGTAGCAAAAAGGAAGTATAAAATACATTAAAAACTAACAAAACAAGTCATGTGTGTCTTTCCATTCAGGGTGGTTTACTTGCGAAACACTACCCTTAATAATAAGAGTGAGGGGTGGTCACTTCCGTTTACAACCTAAAATTTCTACTCTAAACCAAACAAGGCACGGTACGGCTCTAGAAGTACTGGTAATAAGATAATTAATAAAACAAGAGAGTCATTGAGCTTAGAGTCCAAATTGTATCTTAATACTTGCCACGATATTGCCAAGACAAACGTAGCTGTTCTACACGATACGTGCGCCGTGTGGACTACCGTCCCACACATATTTTTCTATAAAGGTATTAGCCAAAACGAAGGTATAAAACTACATAAAAAGTAACAAACAAGTCATGATTTTCCAGGTTCTTCAGGGTGGTTAACTTAATTATCGTAGAACTGTACAATTTGATATAGCATTTCGCGAAGTACCCTCTTTACACGCCCTACTATGTAAAAGTTTTCATAGTGCTATACATAGCCACTCATAGCCATAGGCAAGTCACCAGTAGCCATAGCATTTTTCTTCCAGTTGCGTTATACGTAGGATCCGTACCACTAGAGGGAAGGTGTCTATCTTGAGATTGCCATTGTGAATGTGGAGGGGTAACCAGCATATCCTCCAATCCTTGTATGTCTGACACAACTACCACACCAAACCTTCTACACACAAGTCGTGTTCATTGTCTTACGTTACTATAGTTTTTCTACTGTAGTAGGAAGGATGACGCGTAGCTATCACTCACGTAAAATAACCCTTTTTTCCTTGGAAAAGGGACGTAACCAGAGATTTAGACAAACGTGTCAACTGACGTGTTGTCGAGATAAAAAAGCAACCGTCCTAAGCCGAAACACCAAACAAAAAAAAGATTGTCTTTGACAGCTGACATGTGATGGCCCCCCCCTCAACCCCCTAACACCCGATGATGTCTGGAAGTGTGTACCGTAGAGGAGTAGACCGGTAGAGGAATTTTGGTAGGTGGTAACCCTTGTGACTTAGTAAAAGTAGTAACAGACGGGTACTCCCCAACACTACTTTATCCCTAGACTCACTACGGAAACTCAGCTCCGTCACTTCATTTGACGTGTATAAATAAGGTATTCATTGCTGTAAACCTTACTTAACTCCGAGACCTTACCAACTGTTTAGTTCGTCATTACATACGTATTTGTGTCGAAGTGCTATTCGCACGGAGTGAGAAATTACGTAGGTAGTAGAGGAGGTGGTCCCCTCGTAGTAGGAGAGAAAGTACAACTGTAATCGTCGAAATTACAGTCTACAACGGTACCTGGCGAAAGAATGCCGACGATGGTCCATACTAGACGGCCTAAATAAGTA